ATCACCTCCGTCTTCTCTATGTTCACCTGCAGTCCTGTCTCTGCTGCCAGCCTCTTCAGCCAGTTTTTTGGATTTCACCTGCAAGTCTTCGAGTTTGTGTAACATTAAACATATATCATCCACACGCGAAATCCAGATTTTCTAGAGTCTTCTCATCGGTGGTCCAACGTACTCCTGCCTTCTCACTCCCACGCACATTCTGACGCATAATCCAGTCCATCACAATTGAGAATATCATCGGTGATAATAGGCAGGCCCTTCTTTGGTAGCTTGACGAGGTAGCCAGCCTTTCTTCCGATCGGTAGATACCTTTCCATCTTTTCAAATCTTTTGAAATAAACACTCAGCATCCTCGACTTTGTTCTGATCTGATCTGTAGTGTAGAATTCCTTTGTGGTTTTGTCCTTCACCTTGAAGGTTTCTTGAAGTAGATGATAGTCCAAGTCCACATTTGCTCCGCTTCTCGACTTTGTGTCCAGCACACTGGGTGCATCTCCACTTACTTGAGCAACATTGAGATGTTGTCTCTCTAGGCTTGGTGTGTCCATTAGGCTAAGTGCATGTTACTTTGTGTATATCCTTGCGTTTGTACACGCTGCCTCCAATCATCAAAACATTGAAAGCACAGAAGTCCGCGAAAAATTCTCTGTTCTCATTCCTTTCCCCAATCAAGAGCCTCTTGACAAATGATGAGTTCAATTCCCGTATTATCTGCTCCTAATCCAGATTGTATTCATATCGCCCATGATGATTTTGCTGTCCCCATTTGGGATTTTGACCACTGCTGTTTGTCTGTGAAAATCTTCCTTCTTCCTTGGTTCCGCGTGGTTTGTAGCATTGTGGGTAGCATTGGATAATTGTGACCCTCCTTCCTTTTGAGTTGAATCTTGTTTTCATGATCCTGGATGATATTGGTTCCCACCGCATTTGGACTTTGGCTGCTGCTTGCGACATTTCTGATACTCCACATCCATTTCATGTGCTCTCACAGATACCCAACACTTCTATGACATACCTTCGCACTTCTTTGACTACCTCATCAGGCTTCTCAATCACGTACATTGTACGGACAATCCGTGTCCGTATTCTTATTCTTGCTTTCATCAAGAGAATACACATCAGCTGGTTGACTGGCTTCCCGAAGGCTTTCACCAGCCTACTGTGTCATTTCACCTCTCCAACTGCAGCGTAGAATAAGTTTGTTTTTCCATATGTTCTGTAATTTTAATATACTTCTTGTACGTTGAAGTTTCTATAGTAGTTTGATTGGTTTTGTGGCATAGGGTCACTAGCCACATGCCCAACCCTCCCTCTTTACCCGGGATTGTGACGGGTTAGAAAACTAGCAAACTAGTAAACTAGGCGAGGTTTCTCACCTCATTAGGGTTAATTAATCTAGATTTTGATAAGTTCTTGTGCTCCGCCAGTCTGACTGATCCGTTCTACTTCTTTGACCTATATATTTGATCTGAAAATCATTGCAGGGTATGAGATAAACTAAACTGTTTTGTTTAATTGGCTCCACAGGATCCTTTAACAGACAAAGCTTGTTTCTAATTGAGTTTGTCGATGGTTTGAATGACTCTTTTATCTCTACATTGTTAGGAATTCTCCGTGAGGTTTCCTAGGTTCCTTCTTTGTATAGAAGTAATACTGATGATTTAAATTCCTTATTGTTGGTACTGTGATCATCCTATGATAATAATACCATTCTTATTATTGTCACTATCGTCGCCATTATTATTAATCTTATTTTTTTACAGCTTTGTTCAAACTTTCTGATTAATTTATCAGGGCTATTATAAAGTTTCAAAGCTTCTCTTATATGAATAAGGCATTTAGAAGGTAAATTTTGCAAGATGATATCATTTCATAGTTTCTCTACAATTACGTTACAACTAGTATAGTTCACAAAAATAGAATAAAATGCATGACAATTACTCAGTTATATAAAACAAAAGTACATACTAGTGACCAATCATATTTAAACAGATGAAGTAGTCCAAAATCAATATTAATGACTGCTTCACAATTATTTCACATAATTCTTATTCAAGGTTAATGAAGGTGATCGAAGCACTTTGGATTGATCGCATACATACTAAACTGTGTGTCCAAAAAACAATAGACTTCAAACTTCGGCTACCATGGACTACTTGATCTGTTTAAATATGATTGGTCATTAGAATGTACTTTTGTCTTACATAACTGAGTAATTGTCATGCATTTTGTTCTATTTTTGTGAACCATACTAGTTGTAAAGAAATTGTAGAGAAACTACAAGATGATATCATCTTGAGAAATTTGTCTTCTAAATGCTTTATTCAAATTTAACAAAGGGACTGATTGTTTTGATCTTCACCTATATACCTCACTTCCTGTTTTAGACTTCTCGAGGTACTGCTTAGATTTTGTGCCCTATTACTTAAATATTTTACTAATCCTATTTATACTGTCATAAAGTGGGATGATCTGAAATCCAAATATGTGTTGGTTCCATGTAAACACTAGTGTTTAACCTTCCATATTTTTTTCCTTTTACGCTACAGTCTAACACTGGAAGCTCCCCTTCCTTACTTTTCAATTCATAACTGGATTGATCTGTCTCCACCATCGAGTTGATATGTTCGAAAGATCTATTTATGTCCTGTGTTCTAAGCATGGTGAATGTATCATATACATACCTTCACCATACTTTTGTGGTGGGGATGAAAGTTTTAATCGCTAAGTTATCCCACCTATCCATAAATATGTCTGCCACAATTGACGATTTTGGTGATCTCATGGCGACTCCCTCAGTTTGTAAGTATATATATATAGACAGGAATAAATAAATAAATATTTACTATTACTAAATAATACTATTTCACTGTGTGATATACCTAATAAACAAATTAATATAGAACTACATACTATTACAGTGCCCAAGTTTTACACATATGATAATCCCAGCATGTTAATTTGTCGCAGTATCTTTATTTCTTATCAATTTATTTATTTGTAAAAGAAGATAAATTGACGCTATCCGTCCTGGATCACTAACTGGTTGAATTCCTACTTCTCTAACAGAATGCAGTACACCGTATACAAAGGTAAATCTTCCTCTGCTGTGCTCACTGAAGCTGGTGTTCCTTAAGGTACTGTACTCTCCCCACTTCTCTTTTCTTTCTTTCTACATGACTTACCATCTTCAAATGACATTAATTTTGTCAAATATGCTGACGAACTGACAGTATCTTTGCCTGTTAAATGTCAAAGTAACTGCTCTAAACCAAATGGCTTTCTATCAGAAATCAGCCAGTGGTCCAAGGAAAACGGTCTTACCTTAAACCCCTCCAAATGCCAAACAGTCGATTTCACCTTTAGGCATAAATCCGACCTAAACAAACTGGTTGGCTCTCACGAGGTGTGCAACATAGATGGCACTGAAATAGAAACCAAGTCGGAAATTAAATACCTAGGCATCATTCTATCTGCTGATCTTTCCTGGTCGTCTCATATCTTGGTGATTTCTAAGAAAATATTCCGTCTTACCTTCTACATCAAGAAGTTAAGACATTCTGGCATAACCCAACCCTTACTCCTACAATTCGTTAACTCTCGCATTCTGCCTATTATTCTCTATTGTTCCCCCTTAGTTTTTCCCGGGCTACTGAAGAAGGACTATAACATATTACGCAGGATGTTAAAGGTTGTCAGCAGGGTAAGCAACGTGCCACTTAACCAGCTTGTTAATATTCTGGTCGAGAGGCACATGGACTCAAGTGAAAAATAGGCCAAATCCATTTTATCTAACTCACACCACCCTCTTCATTCACAACTCTCCCCTTGCATCTCATCAGGCAAAACCAGAAGCCTATATAGAAAACTATATGCTCGCACCAGCAAGTACAAAACTCAACCATACCCTACTTAGCTCGTGTTCTGTGCGATAAAGAAAGCATTAGGCATAATACCTATAATTCATTAAATAGTCAGTAGAACAACTGGATCTCGTCTTTCCAACTCATATCATTTATAGGTACAACAATTTCTTTCTTTCTTTTCCTTTTCTCTCCCTATTTTTTTCTTGCGTTATGTGCTGCTTTGTTTCTTTCTACCGCTTACGACAGTAAATATGATAGCACCTACTTTTCTAACACTTTCAAACACTGTTCAGGTTTGGCTTTGCTACCGACATGCCAATATGTTGTTGTCATAATGAACTGAGATTTCCTTAATCATTTATTGATAATGTACTAACTGGATGCAATACTGTAGTAAAAATGCTGAGAATTCCATTCTGTATCACAAGTACTGTTTTGGAATAAGGCAAATTATTATTATTATTACAATCCTGAAAATTCTGTTCTGTATTATTATTACTCTTTTGAATAAAGTGATTAATATCATTTTTCTCTAGTTGGTTTGTAAGGATAAGTTTTGTTTTTACGAGTTGATCACGGATTGATATCACTTAGGGAACCATTAAAAACCAGGGAAGAGTACTGGACAGTTGTTTCATTCCATTTTGGGAATCATCGGCAGTATGCACCCACTGACAGGGTTCGAACCCAGAGCCTTCCAGTTTCAAGGCAAGCTCGTATACCCATTATAGTGAAGGTGTTTGTGAACTTAATGAATGAAAAACAAAACGCTATTTAATGCTAATAGCTTTATCAAGGTATAATTATAATACTTTGATAAAGCTATTCGCATTAAATAGCGAAACGTCAATAAAAACAATATCGTTTTGTTTTTCTTTCATTGGGAAATTCACAAACCTTTATTCTAATGAATATCATATACCCAACGCCCAAGCTCGTATACCATTCAGATTATTATTATTATTACCATTAATATTTAAAAGTGATGACTCATCAGGGAAAACAATTTTTACGCTAAAATTTTGGCTATTCTGATTCGTCCAAAAACCAGCCAATCAAATTCCAATATCCCATTTTCTTTATCCAATGATTTAACAGTAATGATGATAGGTCTAAAACTCAAATATACCAAATCTGAATCATTTTCAGTCAACTAAACAATTATTATAACAGTTCTTCATATGGTCATTTGTTTAATCTATTTTGATTTATCCCAGCAGTGACATTGTTTTTCTTTAAAAAGTCGGTTTATTACTACGAAAAAATTAATGATAACTAAAATGCGACAATCAAATCGAAAATAATCACAATCCTACAATGGATGATGCACATGTCAGTACATCAGATGATTCTGAAATTACTTTGGACAATGCAAAACAACCCAACTGGTTGATAAGAAATGAAAATAAGAATAATAATACAAGTGTAATACAATTATCAGAAAGACAAAATCATATACGTAAACGCTTACCTGGTGAAAATTATACAAACTTACAAACTAATACACCATTACTGTATAATAATAATTCATCGAATGCCTATGCTTATCATAAAGACGAAAATAATGTAGACAAAAGAGTGCAACAAAAGTTGAATCCACTCAGCACCACGCTGTTACCATCATCCACATCCACGTCGCCATCACCATCACCAATGGATACAACCGCCATTCTGCATAAATCAAAATGGAAAAGTACCTCATTCTATTTTAATCCCTCTGGACGGATTGTTTATTCATGGTGTGGTGTTATCAGTGTGGTGTTCATGTATCATTTATGGGTTATTATGTATAGATTTGCATTCAATGAAATCAATCAACAAACTGTTATCTTTTGGTTCACACTGGATTATTTTGCTGACCTATTGTATCTTATTGATATGACTATATCACTAAGAACTGGTTTCTTAGAAGATGGTGTTATGCAATTCGATGGTGTGAAAATGCGTTCCCATTACTTGAATTCATCACGTTTCTATATTGACTGTCTTAGTTTACTACCGTTGGATTTCTTATATTTATCTATCGGATTCAAATCTATCCTAAGGATATTTCGATTGTGTAAGGTGTATAAATTTTGGCAGTTTATGGATAGAGCTGAACGACACGCAAATTATCCTAATCTAATGCGATCAACTAAACTCCTTTTGTATTATTTAACTTTTTTACATTGGAATGCATGTATTTTCCAGTTGTTCAACTCGACCGCTGAAAGTGTTTTCATGCTGACTGTTGCACCGAATTCACCGAATTCAGGTGGAACGACAACAGCGTCAACAAGTACACAAACTACAAGTTTAGGTACAGGAAGTCATATTTCACATAATACTACTACTAGTAGTACAAATAATCGTAACAGTAATAGTAATCATAGTACTGTCCATAATAATCATGGAAATCTTACCGACAGTGGCATGAACAATAGCACTTCATTACTACGCACAGGAGATCATTCTATGAATAGTGTAAATAATGCAGGAGGATTTCTGATAACAACAGGATCTCCCACTGGTGCATCTGCAACACTAGGATATGTTAACAGTAACATGATACCTCTTACTTCAACTACACTGCAAGGAACACATTTATTCCGTGAAATACAATCATCTACAGATAATCATGGAGAATATGAATATTTACATGCATTTTATTGGAGTATGTTAAGTTTATTCCCTGTTGGTGGATTTCCTACGCCTAACTGTCCTGTAGCCTACTTTTATTTAATATGTGAAGGTGTAATTGGCATGTTTTTAATGGCTACTGTACTTGGACATGTAAGCAATATTGTAACAAATGTTAGTACTGCACAAAAAGAATTTCAAGGTAAGTCTGAGGAAGTGAAAAGGGTTTTCCGAAATATTTACAACCATTTTAATCTCTTGCTACATTCATTCACGTTTTGCAGTGAATTCCTTTTTTATTTCTTGCCTTTCAAGGGTAATATATATGGCTTTGAAGAACACAGTAGAACTGATGTTGTTTTTATGACATTGAGTACCTAAGGGTTATATTCAACCTTCCCTCTGTTCCGGGCTTCCTACTGGTTAGCACTGAGCTGAGATGTAATCGAACCAGGCTCACATACGATGTTAGCAGGCATTCTATCATTAAACCACTGACACACCACTCGTTTAGATACTTCAGTGTAATTAATTAACTTTTCACTGTAACAATCTAAGAAGCGGACAGTAATATGACGCATCATTTTCAAATAAAGTGCGATAATGAAACTGTTTTTTATATTTTAATTCCTTCACATTCCCAGTGGAATATAGGGCTTCAAGCTAGAGGCTTGAAGTTTCAGTAGCAGTGGTGATTATTTTTTACGCGATGGGTTGCTAGCCTCATGCCCAACCTTTCCTCTTTACCAGTCTTATTACTGGTTTAGTGAGGTAAAGGAGTGCGTAGGTGGCCAAGGACCAAAGCCCGGACCACGTGAGGCGTGGTCGGTGAGCACTCTACCGCTGTGCCACCAACGCACAAATAATCCCTTACAAATCTGGAATTTCAGTCAGATGATACACTTATTTATTGTCTTTGGTATGGGGTCCTCTAGATGGTAAGAACCAATGGCCAGAGACGACCGTTGCTGATATGGGGCTCGTAAACGTTCTCGATGGCGCTGATGCATTCTCTCTTCGTGACCTCCTAAACATTTGTTAAACCCTCATGTTTTTCCATGTTACTGTTCTTCCACCCGCATATTTTTTCTTATAATAGTTCTGTTGAATCCTCTTTTTCCCACTTCTGTCTACCTTTACATGCCGCAGAGAGTGTGGCAGCTTGAAATTCAGCCAAGCAATCAGATTTATAGAACAGCTTGGTAATATAAACTCAAGTATTATTGCCTTTCCTATTTATCCTTTTATAAATATCAGGAAAACTTTGATAAAAAGTTCAATGTGCAAAGAGTAATTTTAGAGGGACCATGTCAACATAGAATCTCACATTACTGCCGTACACATATATGTTACTACATTCGATATCTACACATCAGGTAGCAAATCAAGTTAGTAAGAAACTAAACAGTTAAGTATGAATAATACAATGAGAATTTACAGAATAAATAAAAATGTTAAGGGAATAAATAAATTTAATATTGCACTTAAGCAGTGAAACATACGATCCTTTAAACAATATGCCAATATTTATCAAAGTTTAAACAACATTAATAATTATTTATCGGTCAGTAAAATAAAGCATTCACTGATCCACTCTTGAGTACACTAAGTGTTCGTGACATTTTAATGAATACGACGGTATGCTCTTACCTGATGGTGGAGATTTATTCATCAAATGCTTTGAATAGCTTCTTTTTGTTTATGAAATGAGAAAAGAAACGATGCAGGCACCGTTGATAAATGACTGTTGTCATTGTAGCTTAACATTTCAAAAGAAATCAAGGCGGCCTGCTTGAATCGCTGCGCTATCGAAACTGATTTACACCAAAATGCTTAATTTCTTCTGGATTTATCACTGTTTTAATCGTCCAGTTATATCGAACGACCTATCCATGAACTTCCTTTCTGATTTAACTTGCTTCCAAGTAAACGCTGTTCATTTCTTCAACGAAATGAAGATATACTTCAGATTATTACTTTACATGTAAATCCTGTATGAAGAAGAAAGTTTATTGGAACCGAATACGCTGAAAATGTTTGTACCATATGTTCGCATATTGCCTGAAATAAAGCTTAACTATTTTATAAGTTACAGAGAGGTGAAAATAAAAACTTATGTCTCTGTTTCGTCTTACGACACTGAGTCTTAAAAATATCCTACATACATATTACTAAACTGAATAACTCACAATAAGCAGATAATCACACTTATGCTATAGATATTATCTAATCCCAACTGATGTAAATTTAAAATGACATTCAAAATGGCGTTAAGTATTTACTGGCTGAAATTTTCAAATGATTTTCTGTATTACTTATAAGTAGACATAGAGTATGTTCTTGTATTTCAGTAGAATTAAATTGCTGCTTTCTTTTAGAGATGGATAATGCTGTCTCTTATCATTTTAATTTAAACTGATTTCCGGGTAACATGTCGATATCTTTTGAAATCTACCATAGATACATACGTAGCAGAAGTCTGTAGATTAAGCATTCACCATCACTAGCAGTCGAATCCAGGACAGAAATTACGACTCATGGGCTACATAATTTCTATACAGTAACCGAATGGCCAAAGGGGCTGATAGCTGGTGATGTCTTGGATGAGCACTGCCAAAGAACCCCAAATTGAGACAAAATAGATGCTGAGTACTCCTTGATTTTTAATGGTTCTCCAACTTATGTCGGTTTTGACGAAGTTCACACTAAAAAAAATTGTGTTATTCATACTAAATTTTTTTCATTCAGTAAGTTTAATGCATGAAATGCTAGCTGTGTTTCTTATTTTACGCAGCACTGAAACTGAATCATTGACCGTAAGAAATCAGCAGTACAAAACATTCCAACGAAGCAGTCCGGTTACAGTCATACTTCCTTCAAAACATCTTATTGGCTTTAAAATTACTAGAAATTGCTGAGACAATATTGCACATATGATAAGAATGAAGACAATTGAAACGATGCATTAAGGGGGTAGAGTTATGGGGTGGATGAAATACGAAACTTTAAAAGTTTATTAAATAAGTGGACTTGTATAAAGATTTTAAAATTCTAGGTCCAATATTGTCAAAAATAAAATAATCTTTAAAAAGTTATGTAATTCATCCACTTCACAACTCTGCCCTCCTTAGTATATCATTTTAATTACCTTTATTGTTATCATATGTGCAATATCTACTGGGCAGTTTCTAGTGCCAGTTAGTGACTTTCGCTGTCATATAAGTACGACTGTACAGCTTGAAAATGAAGTCGTTGAAAAGAGATATTTCTTCATACATTTGTTCCCCTTAATGAATTTGAACAAAGCCAGAACTACAGTTTTAGCAGAATAAAATGGTATCATCTTTAAACAGTGCCATTGCCAGGCATCTCCTCGACACGGGTCATGAGGTGGACGTCGAAAAGTCGTTCAAAATTATCAATAAGCAAAAGAGCTCAATTCTCCTTAAGTTTGCTGAAGCCATTTTCATCAAGCGCCTGAAACCTGATTTATGCGTCCAGAAAGAAGCGGTTATCAGTCTTTCTCTGACCTGGTAACTGGATATTTTTCATCTCTCTTTCATCCGAATGCGAAATGCTGAAAAATTTCCATTGTGTATGATTATTATTGTTCGGAATAGTGTTTAATATTATATATATTGTTTAAAATGAACTCTGTGCAAGTATGTTAAAATTGTTTTTGTAGATACATTTAATAATGTCTTTGCCCTGTAAGCAGCTGATGAGAAGGCAACGAAATAAAAGATGGTACCATTTTATTCTGCTAAAACTGTAGATATTTCTTCAGTGAATAAAAAGATGTGTTTTCCCTTTAAAAACAATTGTGTATATATTGCGATTTCAAATTACTGTCAGATAAATGTTTTTGTATTAAGATGAGTAATCAAATGAAAACGGTTTTATTTTAGTTTCGCATATTATTACTTTTACGGCCACAAACAGTGATACGTTTAAATTTGATTTCTTCTACCCACTCTTATAAGGTACTTAATAATCCACGTAGATTATTCCGATTAGATTACAAGATTTAAGATGGTTTTGATGTATGCCTGATACCATTTTGAAAGCCACTAGGCACTGCCAAGTTGTTAGCTTTCTTCTTGTCTTCAAATTTTCAGCAGTATGAACACGTAACCCTATGTAGGATGGAGCTCGAGATCCTCCCACCTTATAGCTTGCTGCCACTTACTGTTTCCAATTCGAAGGGACATTAACCATGAATTGCCTGTTTTTTTTATCACCACTTAGGTTTCGTCATGTCTTATCTTTTTAATAGCTGCACAATTTGTCCCCCTGTAATTTGTGTATAATATAAAGTGTATTTTTTGAATGCCTTTTAGTCAAACACTTTATAAAAATTATCGCAAAATTTGGATGACAGGTGCGCTTTTTAAAGTTAACATCAAACAACTTTGTGTGTGTGCTACCAAATGAATATTATTACAGTACAAATCCTTGAATTCCTGTTTCTGTATTCTAAGTGGATTAAACAAGCAGAAAAAACTTACACTTGCATAAAAATACAAGACAAATAGTAGTTAAAGTAGGATTGACATCTTAAAAGTTAAATATTGTCTTATTTTTATTTTTCTACTGCGTTATTCCTCTTCTTTTTTTTCCATTCTTCATATAACTTAAAAGAATCACATGGCGGAAGGTGTCTCATTTGATTTATGCAATGACATAACTGAAACAGTCAATTTGATCGACAGCTTACTTATGTCCTCTTTCAAGGATTAGATTGTAAAAACTAGATGTTTATAATATCAAATATAATTTGGAAGATATACTCCAGTAAAATAACTTTCTCTGCTATCATATATTCCATTTGGATTCAGAAGTTAGAGATAAGAATATGACAATAATAGAGCTATTGTTTTCACAGCACATGATTTGCATGATGGCATGGTTTTGTGACACTCTCCTTTCTGTCCTTTTATTGAAAACCTATCGCCTACTTTATCAAATCAATGATTTTCATGGAAAGTTCTGAAAGAAAGGATAATCGAATCGCTGAGAAAATAATCTACTGACATTTTCTAAAGTGATGTTTTAAGTGTTTAAATGTATAACGGAATGTTCTCTCTTCTCCATATCTCAAAAAGCTACGTAGAGATAAAGAACTGTTGTTCAAAAACAAATGATAAGTTAGGTGTAAAAAAGTTAAATACCCTGATAAAACTCGAAATGCAAAGACTAAAT